AAACTTGTAATTATTTTTAAAAACTTTTGGAGTATAAAAGATATGAAGTACAAATGCAAGACTGTTTTTAAAGTATTTATCAAATGATTGTGAATATTTTAATAAATTATTTTCACAAAACAGATTTCTCTCTCTCTCCTTTTTTTTCTTTTTTTCAGATGGAGTCTCACCTGTCGCCCAGGCTGGAGTGCAGTGGCATGGTCTCAGCTTACTGCAACCTCTGCCTCCCAGGTTCAAGCGATTCTCCTGCCTCAGCCTCCTGAGTACAGGCACCTGCCACCACACCAGGCAAATTTTTTGTATTTTTAGTAGAGACGGGCTTTCACCATCTTGGCCAAGCTGATCTTGAACTCCTGACTTCGTGATCCATGCGCCTCAGCCTTCCAAAGCACTAGATTATAGGCATGAGCCACCTCGCCCAGCCACAAAACAGATTTCTAAAGAGAAATTACAGCTATCCCACAATCACTCCTTCCAAATGCCCTTTTGAAAACAACCTTTTTCTATTAACTTCCCTCCATTATGCCTTTTACTAAAATCCTAAATATTAAAAATTAAAAATCCAAACTATACTGTTATTAGATTGATAAAATTAAAGACTAAGAGAATTTCTATCAGAGGCCGTTTGATGTTGTTGTAATTCAGTATGTCTAACTATCCTAAGAAATATCCAAAGAAACACAGAATCTAAGTTCAGGAAAAACCTTTTAGAAAATCTAGTCCAAACATTTATTTAATTCCTAAATCTCATCTACAAAGTTCCCTTGAATTGGCTGACCTGCTACTAATGACAGGGAAGGGAAACTTTTTTTTCTTTTAAAAGTTTCCTTCTAGGCTTGGAAAGCTCTGAGTCTTGGGCTCTGAGTCTTAGGCCTTGGAAAGCTGTGAGTCTTAGGCTGTTTTTCCTTAACATTAAGACTTAAACCTTTTTACCTAATCCTAGTTTAGAGTTTGGGGCCAGATAATTCTTTGTTGTTAAGAGGCTGTTGTTTGCACTGTAAAATGTTTTAACAGCATCCCTGGCCTCCATCCATTAGGATGCTAGTACTTTCTCCTGCTCCCCAACCAAAATGTCCCTAGACATTGCCAATGCCCACTAGAGGACATAATCACATGGGCTGAAAACAAACCGTCTTAGTTCTACCTGCTGGGACCAAATAACACCACCACCACTTGGGCATTTAGAGCAATACTGAGCACCTTAATCCTCAAAACCATCCCCATTTTACAGCTGAGAAAATGGAAACTGAGCAGCTAAGAAAAGTGTCTGAAATCATATAGTTAATTAAGTTCTGGGTCTGAGATATGATTCAAGGGGTTCAATTTCAGGGTCCTCGCTCCTGTCTTCAAACAATTCTGACACAAACCAAGTCTAATTACTTTTCAAAGGAAAAGTCTTAAAATATCTGAAGACAGCTTTTATTACAACATTCCTTAATATCCAACCAGAGCTGTCACAAGATTTCTCTCTCTTTTGAGACAGTCTCATTCTGTTGTCCAGGATGCAGTGTGGTGACGTAATCTTTGCTCACTGCAACTTCTGCCTCCTGGGTTCAAGCAATTCTCGTGCCTCAGTTCTCAGAGAACTGAGGCACGAGAATTGCTTGAACATAGCTGGGATTATAGGTGTGCACCAACACGCCTGGCTAATTTTTGTAATTTTAGTAGAGACGGAGCTTTGCCATGTTTTCCAGGCTGGTCACAAACTCCTGGCTTCAAGCAATCCGCATGCCTCAGCCTCTCCAAGTGCTGGGATTATAGGCGTGAGCCATCACACCTAGCCCAAGATATCTCTTAAATTCTTAGTTCCTTAAACTGGCAACATATACAACTTTTTCATATCCTTCCTCCTGAATATACACAGAACTAAAAATAACAATACTTTGGTATTTAGCAGAGTTACTCTATTCTTCTTTTCCATTAATTGAGATTTTTAAAGGGGTGGGGCGAGGAAGAAGATAGGAAACCATGATACTTTTGCTTTACATCTAGTTTACTGTCAACAACCACCCTCAGGTCTTTTTCATGTGATGCTGTGGGGCCATGCTACTACCTTAATGTATTGTGGTGGTTTTTAAGCCTTACACATAAACTCCCAAAAAGCTCATCTAAACTTAGTACAACAACCCAGCCTCAAAAATTTTGGATCATTTAGTATATTATTTACTATCCTTCAATCCTCATTGTCACTGATATATTTGGTAATTTGCTTTCTCCATATAAGCATTAAGACAAAGCAAAGAACAAAGCCACCTTTCAAGATCAATCAATCTCTGGATGGGGTAAAGTCAGAACTGTGTTAATTAATTATCACAAACAGCTGGTAGCTAACTAACTTATTGTTCCCCCACTTTACACTCAAGGATATCAAATGACTTTACCAAAAGCTAAGCTTAAGTCCAAATACATTACAGTGTCGCTAGTCTACCAACTGCTTCAGAGAAAAATCTAAGTTGGTCTGACAATCTAATTTTAACAAACCTATTCCTAATCATTTTTAATCTGTTTTTCAAGTCAGTCATAGATGAGTCTTTTCCATTTTTAATTCCAAAATCTCCTACCTGTTTCAAAATCAAGCTCAGAATCTCCCATCTTTTAGCAGTTCTTGTATTCTTCTAAAACCTTCAAAGATCAACAAATAATACCAGTAATTTTAAGGTGTTGAATGCAGTTCCTTTTATAAGATGTTTTAAAATGACCCAGAACACAACTCATTTAATTAGATGCATTTTTTTAATATACTTTATGCTGAACCTAAGTAGCTACATCTACAGTTTATTAAAGAAATATTGGTTTAACTCAATTGTGGATAATTTTATTATTTTCATTTAGGAAATCACAATATGTTAAGTAAATGGTAGATCATTTTTTGCCCTTTCTTCTCCATAACTTTAAGAATGGAAACCATGAATTTTACATTTTTTTCCCACTGTATTATGTTCTTTTAAAGAATTACTGTGGTACTTTTTTTTTTTTAAGTGTTTTTTTTTTATTGAATTTTAGGTTTTGGGGTACATGTGAAGAACATCTAAGACTGTTGCATAGGTACACATATGGCCGAATGATTTGCTGCCTTCCTAATTAGATGCATTCTTTACCTCTATACTCATATTGGCCTTTATGTCCTTATCAATGTTTGTCTTATTTTAATTCTGTTAAGAGGTGGTGGTGGTTTCCTCTTCCTCTTTGACAAAGGAGCTTCAAGAGCTAAGGATTTTTCCCCCTCATTGTCATGCATTATTATTATACTTTCCTTGATTATTCATTTTACATGAAATGTAATATAAGAAACCTTTTCTGGTAGTCTTAGCTTTTTTCTGAAGTCTCAGTTCATACAAGCTCTAGTTTTCCTGATTATTTATTTTTTATATTTTATGATGGTTATCTTAGCTATTTGCTTTGTTTTAAAAGTAATGTGCATATCTTTAAAAAAGTTCACTGTGTAATCACACTGAAGATCTTTCTCTGTCAAAAAAAATAATCAATTACATTTTTACTTAACCCCTTTAGGCATTCCTTCTTTTTGGAGATATTTATGCTGTGAAATCATGCTGATCTTTTCTGTGATCAATTATCAGAAAAACTGAGATTAGTGAAGTAAATTACAAAATATATATGTACAAAACATTATGTAATCTTTTAAAATTATGCAACAGAAGACTACTTCATGACTAAAGGATGCTCATAATTAAATTCCTCTTTTTTAAGGGACAGATTATATAACAGTACTACAGTAATACCTTTTTAAGTGCCTATGTGTCATTTTATATTTTTATATATACACAGAAAAATAAGTTATATGCCAAAATATTTTTCTTTTGATAGTAAAAAAACATATTTTCATTTTCTTCTATATGTTTTTCTGTGCTTACCAAATTTACCTAATGAATACGTACCATTTTCACAGTAAGACAGCCACTATTACCTTAAAAGAATCAGCAGAACAGGGGAAAGTATTCTATAAAGTATAAGATTAAAAGGTCTAGCTTGAGATTCTGCTTTTATAACTCTATTTAATAAGCTTAGAAAAACATTTTTGGATTCAAAACCACAAAAAAAGTCAATACAAGATATCATGAACCGAACTATATAAATAAATGATGACAACCATAAGATGACCATTCAAACTTTTAAAAATTAAATGGGGGAAATCATAAGAACTTCCTTACACTTCAAGGAAAGAATGTTATAAACTATTTAAATACATTAAAAACAAAGTAAATGTAAAATGCTGTATATTCCAAAAGTCCATATAAAATGAAGGATCAGTAGGATAAGGGTAATAAAGACAGGAAAAAAAAAAAAAACCTTCATCAAAATGTTTTAAATTGTTGTAAAATTTCCTAATGAAGTGAGCAATATCACCTGTTAAGATTTAAAAATCTCACAGGAAAAACCATTATCTTTATTTAGAAATTTTTGGGTGATTGAAAAATAGTATTCACTAATCCATGAACTTACTCCCTGCTTCAGTGGCAGTAGCTAGATCACCTTCAGATTCTAGGTTCCTTGACTTGAAATAGTCATTTTAACCAATTAGAGCTCTATCATTTAAGTACATTGAGTTCTGTAAAATACTATATATAAATGGTTCAGTTAATCCTTAATTCATCCAATGTAAAAATATATTCAACTCCTTCTTTAGAAAATTATTTCAATTATTTCATTTATCTTGAACTTTATTTTCAAATACATCAAAAATATTATTTCAAAATTAATCTTTCCTTAAATTTTTTAATGATATTCATATAAAACAATACCAAACACAATGCATTCTCAAGTTACTTGAAATAAAACATAAAGCATCAAACCCACAAAAACAATAAAAACATATTTATTTTAAGTAACTTGCCATTAAACTGAAAATCAAACATATGGTCTTTTACATTTAGACATGTAAATGAAACAAAGGTCACACATATCCCTCTCAATCTTTCTTTCAAATTCATATATGTAAATAATTATAACCCAGAGATATCATGTAATAAATGAATACACACCTTCCTTTAGTATATGCCAAGGTAGACACACAAAAACAAGAAAAAAAATTTGAAATCAGAGTATAAAGGGACTCTGCTCTTTCAAACAATGAAGCACTGAAAGCCAGGTCAGCATCCTTGGGCATTACTAGGAAACTTTAGCACATCTGATATTTCCATCATCTTCAAGATTCCTCTGAACAATCAGAAAATTCCCCAGTCTCCCCCTACCTCACCTGTCCATAGACTTCCTTTAGCTTCCTCCCTCTACTTTGTAATAATGCTGTTGCAGTATTTAGGCTTTAAATGTTCAGAGATACAACCCCCTCTACATATTAATTCAGTTTATTTTCTCACAGACACTGACTCAGCCGTGGGTTGTGCAGCACTGACGTTTCTAACAAAACAGCATCGTGTGAGCTGTGATCGTCCCATTTCTCCATCTCTAAGCAGCGATTGGATATTGTACTTGATAGACAGGCATAACAAAATGCAGGAGTTGAGGGCTTAGAGATATGTAGATATGTTGCCCAATGCCATCTGTAAAGCTAATTCTAGCTCTGCCAGCTTGCCAAGGTTTAGAAAACTAGGATACAGCCAACTTTCTTTTTCCTTTCAGTATTTTATTGTGTATCCATTCTCAGCAGTACAGCTCTTTAAAATCAAAGAGAAAATATTATTTGTACTTAATTAAGAATGCACTCAAGAACTATTCTTTAAAGCAACCAAACTTTTGCATTTCTAAACTGCTGCTAGGGCTATGAAGTGACTTAAAACAGAAACTGGAACGTTCAGATTTATGCAGTCTCAGGAGAAACGAGCATGCGTACTTTCATGTGGGAATGAAACCCTGCGGCATAGTCTATACTGAATGTATGATGCATTTATCTTTAGTAACCTGAGCGGACTGCAGATCTGAGTTTTATGTGGTCATATTCCACCCAATCCAAATATTTAAGAGCTTTTATCATCTATCTAGACATTTTAACCTCCTTATACAGAAAAGGTGCTTTTTTCTTTTTTAAACAGCAAAAAGTCATCTAATTCGTAATTTAAAAAGCAGTTGCCACAAATTCAGGCCAAATATATTTCAACTGAAATGATGTTTAACATCTTCAGCAGCCTTCCAAACTGTTCCATATAAGTGTCATACAAGTATGTAACTATACAACTCTCTATAAAACTATAAAACTACTCACACAGAAACAAGTTCAGCAACTTATAAACAAATCGAATTTTAAACCAATTCAGTAAATTTTAAGCAATTCAATCACATAAACCTGCTGAGAGATGATCATAGGCACCCTAAAAGTCCATCCATGTTTACACTAGTTTAACTGTAAACAAATTTTTTAAAGAGATACATACATATCTACATTCAAAAGAAAGTTTTAAAAAGCAGCACCTTTTAATGCATGTTCCCAACACAAAAAAAGATAAATATTTGAGATGATGGACATGCTAATTACTCTGATAGGATCAATATATGATATACGTATCATATTACTGTGTGCCCTAGAAATATATACAATTATGTGCCAATTTTTTAATCTTTTGAAAAAAGAAAATGATCAGAAATAAAATGTAATAATTAAATGATTTTTAAAAGTACCTAAAGTTGTTTAGATAGAACAGAAACCATAGGCAATGTTCACAAACTCTCAAACCTTAATGGTAAATACACATTAGATAGTAACTGTTGCTGTTACTTTTGTGAATAAAAAAAACTTATTTTTATCCTAGCCAGCAAGGAAAAGTGAGGAAAAAAATCAAAAGTACAAGACTAGAAAAAGTCACTCTATTCCAAAATATAAATAGAACAAAAGAAAACACAAATTTCAACAAGACAACATTTAGATTACCTGCAAAAACTAAAACAATAAAGTATGCTTATTTCCTTAAGTTAATAGATTTAAATCCCCAACTGCTCAAGGTGGCAATGCACCCAGTTTAAAAACTGTATTTCTCAGTCTCCTTGATCCAGAGATGACTATGTGACATGATTCTAACCAATGACTGGTTTATAAGCAGGTATCTGCTAGAAGTTTCTGAGAAATTTAATTTCCTGATAGAAATGAAGTCTTTTCTCACTGTCCCTTTTTCCTTTTTGTTTAGAAAGTGAACATGATATCTGGAACTACAATATTCACTTTGTAATAATGAGGGGAAAGCCAAGAAAATAAGAGATTTTTGACCCTAACATTAAACATGTATCTGCCATTGCCTTTCTCTGGACTTCTTATATATAAGAAAAATAAACCCCTAACTTAAGCCAGTGTTTCGTCTGGTTTTCTTTTACTCAAATATCCCTAAATAAAATACACAATATTCAAAAAAAGGAATGAGAGTAGGTAGAGGCATGATGAAACAAAATCAGCCATGAGTTGGTAAATTGAAGCTGGGTGATGAATAGCAGGAGTTCATTATATCTTTCTATTTTGCATGTATTTAAAATATATCATAATAAGTTATTTAAAATTTGAAAATAAAAACAATGAGAAACTTGTTTATAAATCCTAGCTCTGCTATTTACAAGTTGGATGGTCCTGGGCAAGTTTTCTAATTTCATTTTTTTCATTTGCCAAATGGGAACAATAATACTATCCACAGAGCTCTACCTTCAGATCTAGTCAAGGTAATCTGAAGGTCCCTGCCAGAAATGTCCTCCATCTACCTAATACTCTAATCATCCAGGATTAGCTCAAGTCTCATTTTCACCTACTCAAGCTGATAATGATTCTTTCTCTGAACTCTTACTTTACAACTCATTACCATAGTTTAAGTGCCTTGCTGTCCTCTAATAGTTCCATATGTGGATACTAAAGCATTCTAAAACAGTACTGTGACACACTTTTGAATCGCTCCTGAACTGAGGGCAAGTTACTTGCTGTTACATTTTAACACCTCTCAGCCAATTAACTTAATATCAATTCAAAAAGTAACACTTTTTTAAAAGTCAAATCATAATTTTTAAGTGTCCTAAGTTATATGTTCCTAAGCATATAGGGACAGGAGGTCTCTAAAAGTTCTTTCTTGGGCAGATTTTCCATGAATGAGGCAAAAATAAAACTCATTTAAAGGACTTCATAGTCTTTGCATTAAAAAAAAAATCAATTCACTGGTATTTATTTTCTATTCTATGTTAATGTTGCTGCAGTCTACCTAAAAATAGCTCCAATTAAATGTGTTTGGTGGTGGTATGTGCCTGTAGTCCTAGGTACTCCAGAGGCTGAGGACGGAGGACTGCCTAAGCCTGGGAAGCAGAGATTGCAGTGAGCTGAAATGACGCCACTGCACTACAGCCTGACCAACAGAGTGAGAACCCATTTCAAAAAACAAAAAAATTTAAAAAACAGCACTAAAAAGTTACTGATGTTACAGGTATCAAGAAGAGCTTTGGTATTCATTACTGACAATGAAACAACAGTAATGAAAAATGTACTGTTCCTTTTTATACATTTTTCCCACTGTAGTTTTCATAAAACAATGGTTTATTTTCTCCCTTGTCACCTCTTCATTATATAATGCAGTATTGTACCTCAGCAGAAAAAATGCACAAAGTATGATGAATACCATATAATTTACTTGAAAAAAATACACATATATATAGCATTGTATAAATACAGCCCCACATTCAATGTGATAAAACCAATAACTTTTTTTCTTTTTTTGAGACAGTCTCACTCTGTTAACCAGGCTAGAGTGCAGTGGCATACTGCAACCTCCACCTCTCAGGTTCAAGCAATTCTCATGCCTCAGCCACCCAAGCAGTTGGAATTACAGATGCACACCACCATGCCCGGCTAATTTTTGTAATTTTAGTAGAGATGGGGTTTCGCCATGTTGACCAGGTTGGTCTCGAACTCCTGACCTCAAGTGATCTACCCACCTCGACCTCCCAAAGTGTTGGGATTACAGGCATGAGCGCCTGGCAAAACTAATACCTCTTTAATCTAAATGACAAAATAATATCCATAACATAGAGAAAAAGAACAAAAGCCCCAGTTTGAACACACATGCATGCACGTGCGCGCGCGCACACACACACACAAAATCAACAAACATAAAAAACAAAAAAACACTAAAAAATACTAATGCCATTTGTCAAGAACTTATCAATTATAAAAAAGTCAACATTAACATTTTAGACCTCATCACATTAAAAGTTCACAATAAAGGTGAACATCTTATCAGGAGACTTAAAAAGTACCAATCACTCATATTTTCTAGCTATAGCATAAAGTTTTAAAGTATTTAAACTATTTCTTTAAAATCACAAAAACTATTTCACCATTACGTTATGGGTTTGTTTTTTGTTTTGTTTTTTTTTTTTCCCTAAGAAAGCTGGTATTTGCTATCAGTGGTCAGGAGAATTCCATATTCAAGTAAGTTAAAAGTTCAATAATATCTCCTAAGTAATATTCATAGATTATGCTTTATGAAAACATGTTTACATACCTGTAATATATGAGGTTTATGAGTTGTCAATTAACATCTTAAAATTTCAGATCACAAAGTGTATAAAATGAGGTATTCCTCATTAAGTTACACAGCAGAAAATGGAAGTTTTAAAAGTAATAGGTAGATGGGCTGAAACTTGAAATAAATTTCTTTCATGCATCAAACTTTAAATAAGCCAGTAGTCATTCCAGAAAGATTAATTGTTCTCATTCATGAGAAGGATGACAAAGCAATATAAATTCCGATAGTTAAAAATGTATGAAGTAAACACTGACATAAATCTATATATTATCCTGTATAAGGTACACATAGAATGTATTCAGAGCACAAAATAAATTCCTATTAGAGAGTTTTAAATACAAATAACTAACCTGTCATGTCAGAGTTCCCAATTAAGTCAATTATATCATTTATTCGTGGAGTCAACTAGGGTGATTTTTACCATCTTTAGAGTCAGATATAAATATTCAAATACAAATATTAAAAAATTAAAAAGAAATGTTTCTCCAAAAGTTGTCTATGAAGACATACAAACATTCATGTTATGTAAAGCAGCCCCCATCCTCTGACCGGACCTGCTACAACCAAATACAGCAGTATTCTTTACAATCAGTTTTAGCAGAGCTTTCATATGTGAAATACATGTTTTCTACCTACCTTGAATGTTTATAAAGTTTACGAGGTCTACTATGCAATTTCCGATCCCAATTCTCTGGATCACTGGAGTTACCATCATAGGGATGAGGCCGTCCTGCCATCCCACTCCAAGCTTCCTCACACTACTGCTCTGAAAGCACACATGTAGCACTCATAACCTACATAAAAGAGCAGTGTTGACCTTTAAATCTATTGCATGAAGAATAAAATAGTCATTCCTGTATGAAGAATTGTACAGACTTGATATTATTGTGACATATTTTTAAAGTGATGGATAGATTATAAAATATGAATCATAC